TTGAGCTTGTCAAATATTTACAAAGCACGATGTGATAACTGCGGTGGTAAAGTGACCATGATGTCAATATTCAATTTTTGCATAATAATAATTAAAATTGAAAACGTATTCATGCGTGGGATCTTGGTTGGAAATACAGCGAAGTAACAAAAAACCAGCAAAGTGTAACAATAATAAAATCACAAACATTTGAATGTAAAGAAAAACAAAATTATTTTGTGGTTGGTTTAGGCATCTGTTATTTTAGTGTTTTTTCTTGTCGTAACCTGAAACAGATGTGGACGAATTTTCCTAGCTCAATGATTGTCTTGTCATTTTAACTTTTAGTATACCTGTTAGGTGTTCATCATCTGTTCAAAAGTTGATTTTATTGTATTTAATATTTTAATCATGATTTTTTTTGTTTCTTCTTGTATAGATTACAATTGAGAAAATATTGTTTTTCGTTCTCAATTTTCTAGTTGTCACAAACTGGGCAAATTTAGTCTTCAGCTATAAGGTTATATACAATAAAGTAACAACAATAAGCAAATTGTAACAATAATAAAATCACAAACATTTGAATATAAAGAAAAACAAAATTAAATTGTGGTTGGTTGAGGCATCTGGTATTTTAGTTTTTTTCTTGTCGTAACCTGAAACAGATGTGGACGAATTTTCTTAGCTCAATGATTATTTTATCATTTTAACTTCTTAGTGTATCTGTTAGGTGTTCATCGTCCGTCTTAAAGTTGATTTTATTGTATTTAATATTTTAATCATGGTTTTTTCGTTCCTCCATGTATAGATTACAATTGAGAAGTTGTTTTTCGTTCTCAATTTTCTAGTTGTCACAAACTGGGCAAATTTAGTCTTCAGCTATAAAGTTATTATATCTACCCCTTTTGATTTGAAGGGTATGCGCCCTTATTCCGAATTTCGCCTTAGCACAGCACTAGGATTTAGATTTTTGATTGTGGTGAGATATTTTTCATAGTTAGAGTCTCCAGTCCTACTTTTCGACAGTCACCCTTTCTGAAAATCGTTGATGACATCAGTTTAACGTGGAAACGTGGAAACGTCAATCCCAAGTAAAACAGCTTTTGATTGAGGGATCAAATAAGCAGTAAGTTTTGGAGTGAAAACAAGAAGTACATGTATATTGCAAAAATCAGTTTATCTGTGTGTACAATTTATTCAGAACGTGGTCAATCGAATAGTGAATGATGAGCGGAGTAATGATTGGTAAAGACATAATCGAGTATAATTTATAAGCGGAGTGTGAATTTGTCAATGGTATACGTAATTATATGTACAGCAAGTTTGGTATTAAAATATGTATAATTTCGAAATTTGGTTAATTTTGTCTTAGAAATATGGAAATGTCTAGTAATTCTGTTCTGATTTTTTTGTTGGG